CCCAGATGCACAGAATGCTGCGCCTGCCACGACTTCGGCAACGGCATCGCCAAAGTGCTGCGCCTGCCACGATTTCGCAACGGCATCGCCAAAGTGCTGCGCCTGCCACGATTTCGCACGCCCCCCGCCGCGCGCGCGACAACATCCTGTCCCTCTAGACAGCTGCCGAATGCGACCCCTGCCACACAAACACACACCCAGATGCACAGAATGCTGCGCCTGCCACGACTTCGGCAACGGCATCGCCAAAGTGCTGCGCCTGCCACGATTTCGCAACGGCATCGCCAAAGTGCTGCGCCTGCCACGATTTCGCACGCCCCCCGCCGCGCGCGCGACAACATCCTGTCCCTCTAGACAGCTGCCGAATGCGACCCCTGCCACACAAACACACACCCAGATGCACAGAATGCTGCGCCTGCCACGACTTCGGCAACGGCATCGCCAAAGTGCTGCGCCTGCCACGATTTCGCAACGGCATCGCCAAAGTGCTGCGCCTGCCACGATTTCGCACGCCCCCCGCCGCGCGCGCGACAACATCCTGTCCCTCTAGACAGCTGCCGAATGCGACCCCTGCCACACAAACACACACCCAGATGCACAGAATGCTGCGCCTGCCACGACTTCGGCAACGGCATCGCCAAAGTGCTGCGCCTGCCACGATTTCGCAACGGCATCGCCAAAGTGCTGCGCCTGCCACGATTTCGCACGCCCCCCGCCGCGCGCGCGACAACATCCTGTCCCTCTAGACAGCTGCCGTGAGTCAGCGAGTGTGAGTGAGTGAGTGAGCGAGTGAGTGAGTGAGTGAGTGATGAGAGTGAGTGAATGAGAGTGAGTGTGAGTGAGTGAGTGTGAGTGAGCGTGAGTGAGTGAGTGAGTGAGTGTGAGTGAGTGTGAGTGAGTGAGTGTGAGTGAGTGTGAGTGACTGAGTGTGAGTGAGTGAGTGTGAGTGAGTGTGAGTGAGTGTGAGTGACTGAGTGTGAGTGAGTGAGTGTGAGTGAGTGAGTGTGAGTTGAGTGAGTGTGAGTGAGTGAGAGTGAGTGAGTGAGTGAGTGAGTGAGTGAGTGAGTGAGTGAGTGAGACGGAGACGAGCGGGAGAAGGAGGAGGAGACGCGGCGCGCGGACGACGAGCGGAAAAAGTAAGAACCCCACACAAAGATGTGGGGAATAAGAAGGAATAAGAAGGTCAATAGAAAGGAACCAGAGGGAATAAGAAGGTCAATATTGACGTTCTTATTCCTTTCTATTGACGTTCTTATTCCTTTCTTTTTACGTTCTCAGTCCTTTCTATTGACCTTCTTATTCGTTTCTATTGACGTTCTTATTTCTTTTCATTGACCTTCTTATTCCTTTCTATTGACGTTCTTATTCCTTTGCATTGACGTTCTCATTCCTTTCGGCCAAGGGCCGACAGAACCTTGGAGCCTGAACCCGCAACCCAGTTCAAGTTCGCCAGCCCATGAACTCCCCCCCCCCAACCCCCCCAAAAAAAATGCCGAAAGACTGCATGAAAGCCCAAGTTCTCGACGAGGACTGGGTAATGGCGCTTCAGGTAGTCTTTGTAGAGTTCTTGCCGTTGAAGAAGACGGGGATGACGGGCTTCCCCGTGGCCTGTGGCTGGTCTTCGCCCGCGACAACCTCGTAGAGTTTCCCTGTCTCTGGGTTGAAGCAGGCCATAATCTTTTGCTCGAGGTATCAGGCCAGGCCGTCCATGGCCATTTCGTCCGCCTCTTGACCATTTGATCACTCCAACTTGCCACGTCGTGGGGACTCTGGAAGGCGGGATAGTCGCCCCAGCGGCGCTGAACCTAGGCCACAGCTTCCAGCCGCAGGTGGCTCGCGGACTTCCACTCCTCAAGGCGGAGGTTGTGTCCGCTTGGCTGGCCGTCCTGAGCATACCGCCGCTTCCGAGCCGGATCAGACAGCCACTGGCTGACGGCCCTGAAGAAGCAGTTGCCATCACCGAGCACCCTGAACACGCGAATTCCACAAGCGCTCCACCAGCTTCCTCCACAGATGCTTCGCCCACCACGACTTCCTCTTCTGGCGGGGGCACTGGCGGGGCACTGGCGCGGCATTTCTTCGAAAGCTGGCGTAGGCTCCACTTCGGGATCCGGCACAGGAGGCTCTGTCGCCTGCAACTCCCTCATTTCGGCTCGGAGGTGGTCCAGCCTCATCTGCCTGAGGGTATACAAGTTGCGCGTGGCCCTGTTCATCAGACCCATCGTGGCGAAGACTGACGATGCGATCTGCTCAAAGACAACTTGATCCGAAAAGGCTTCAGAGAAGCTTGTAGCCGCACGGTCACTGGCAGGCATCAGCAGGCCGCAGCTGAGTTGCTGACGGACTGCTCTGGCGCGTCCGCGACCGGGTTTTGCGGCAAACTCCCGGCAAACCGGGTTTTCCAGCCAAAGGGGCTCCTTAGCCCAGAACAGGGGATTAGATCTTTCTGGGTCTTCAGCATTGGCACGTAATGTAACCATGGAGAACATTTCTGCGCTCTTGAGCGTGCTATGTTTTAGGGTAGCCAGCAGTGCTCGAGCCCCTGGGGTCCGAGGCTCCCAACAAAGAAAACATAGCGCCAATGCTCAAGAACCAGGGGCCATGATCTCCATTGCCCGACTTCTCTAGCCAGTTTTTCGGCAGAGGCCTTTTGCTCACGATCACATCTCCTCAAGCCAGTTTTTCGGCTAGACTGTTTTGCCATCCCTCTTCTCCCAACAAACCAGTTTTTCGGCCAAGGCCTTTTGCTCAAGATCGCCCTTCTTTTCTTTCTAAAAGCTCCCTGTGCAGGGATCTCCTCTAAAAGGCTTCCCGCTTCCCTTTGACAAGCTACAAAGCTCCTTAAGCTTTTCTTGGAAGGTGAAGGGCCCCTTTAGGAAAGGCTCCTTTAAAAGAATCCTCTTACAGCAGCGTCCTGTTTAAGAGCTACCCAGTCTTTCGGCTGACCCTCTCACCATAATGTTACCATTGCAAGCAAACCAGTCTTTCGGCAAAACCCCCAAATGCACGTTTTTGGATACGCGCCCAGTTTTTCGGCTAAAGGTTTGGAGGTGCGATAACCTTAAAAATCTTTCGGCTGGAAGCCGCCAAACTTATTCCTTTCTATTGACCTTCTCATTCCTTTGCATTGACGTTCTTATTCCTTTCTATTGACCTTCTTATTCCTTTCTATTGACGTTCTTATTCCTTTCTAGTGGCGTTCCTATTCCTTTCTAGTGACGGTCTTATTCCTTTCTATTGACCTTCATATTCCTTTCTATTGACGTTCTTATTCCTTTCTATTGACATTCTTATTCCTTTCTGTTGACGTTCTTATTCTTTTCTGTTGACGTTCTTATTCCTTTCTATTCCTTTTATTGACGTTCTTATTCCTTTCTATTGACCTTCTTATTCCTCTCTATTGACGTTCTTATTCCTTTTTATTGACATTATGATTCCTTTCTATTGACGTTCTTTTTCCTTCCTATTGACCTTCTTATTCCTTTCTATTAACCTTCTTCCTTTTTTATTCCTTTCTAGTGACGTTCTTATTCCTTTCGATTGACCTTCTTATTCCTTTCTATTGACGTTCTTATTCCTTTCTATTGACCTTGTCATTCCTTCTGATTCCTTTCTATTGGCCTTCTTATTCCTTTCTATTGACGTTCTTATTCCTTTCGATTGACCTTCTTATTCCTTTCTATTGACGTTCTTTTTCTTTTCTATTGACCTTGTCATTCCTTCTGATTCCTTTCTATTGGCCTTCTTATTCTTTTCTATTGAGGTTCTTATTCCTTTCTATTGACCTTCTTATTCCTTTCTAGTGACGTTCTTATTCCTTTCTATTGACCTTATTTTTCCTTTCTATTGACGTTCTTATTCCTTTCTATTGACGTTCTTATTCCTTTCTATTGACGTTCGTACTCCTTTCTATTGACCTTCTTATTCCTTTCTATTGACGTTCGTATTCCTTTCTATTGACGTTCTTATTGCTTTCTATTGACCTTCTTTTCCTTTCTATTGACGTTCTTATTCCTTTCTATTGGCCTTCTCATTCCTTTCTATTGACCTTCTCATTCCTTTCTATTAACCTTCTCATTCCTTTTTATTCCTTTCTAGTGACCTTCTCATTCCTTTCTATTGACCTTCTCATTCCTTTCTATTAACCTTTTCATTCCTTCTTATTCCTTTCTAGTGGCGTCTTATTGCTTTCTATTGGCCTTCTCATTCCTTTCTATTGACCTTCTCATTCCTTTCTATTAACCTTCTCATTCCTGTTTATTCCTTTCTAGTGACGTTCTTATTCCTTTCTATTGACCTTCTTCTTCCTTTCTATTGACCTTCTCATTCCTTCGTATTCCTTTCTATTGACATTCTTACCTTGTCGGAATAGTCTTCACTGAAACTTGTCGGTGTAACGATGTTCTTTGTCGTTGTAACATGCTCTTTGTCGTGGCTACAACCCTCTCTACAACAGAGGCAACATGGTGACCCAAGTGGCTCAAGTCCTCGGACTCGAACTCAGGGAGCGAGTTGCTCATATTCAGTCCACCCTAAAATATCAATTTGGGTGTGAATTTTAATTAAGAACCCTTTGGTGGACATCATTTAGCTGGGGATTTATGTCCACCAACCACTTTTCAGGGGGTTCCCCATTAAAATTCATGGCCATTTGGAGAAAACCACAGAATAGGCGCAAAGAACAACACCGTATGGCACCCCCAGTGGACCTCCATGGAAAAATGAATCGGCACGCGTTTGTAGTAGCTGATTGTTGAAAGGAACCCCCCCTCCAACGTAAATAACCTCGGGCCAGCCCACCCACCCCAACACCCACACCCACCCACCCCCACCCACCCACCCAACACCCCCCCCCCCAACCACCCATACCCACCCACCCCACCCACCCCACCACCTGTTTTTTTCCACCTCCAAAATCCCGAACATCCCCAAAACCACGTCAATCCCCAGGTCCCAAACCAGTGATCCAGACTGCCCCTCAAGCTGATCGCATCCCGATCCTGGAGCTTGAGCTGCGCCCAGGTACCCGCCTAGCGCCATCGATCGATGCCAAAAGCCCATGGCCAGTGCCCGGTCCAGAGCAACTGGATGCTACCCGAGGGGGGGGAGGGTGAGGGAGGGTGGGGGGGGAGGGGGTGGGTGGGGGATGGTTGAAAAAGCAAAGGCGGGCAAGTCGGGGGTAGGGGAGGGAGGGGAGGGTGAGGGAGGGTGGAGGTTGGAGTTTGGACATGCTTGAAAAAGCCAAAGCAGGCAAGTTGAATCGGACCCGGATGCTGGGGTGTGCTTTTCACCTAGGCAAACCACGCATACAACGCCAATGCACCATCTTTTTCAGGTTGGTTTCAAGGGAAACCAAACAGAAAAAACAACAACAACAAACATGCAAGGGCCACGGAGAAACTGGGACAATCAAACTGGTTCCCTGGTCTTGTTCAAGGTTTGCTCACCAACCAAAGGCGCGAGAGTGGGACGAAACACGGGTCTGGCCACCCTGGCTGGTGCTTTTTCAGCGAGGAAACCGCGGCAATTTGGGGGCGGCCAACCTCCAAACTGAGGCACAGGCGCGTGGCCATGCTGCGATCACCACGGTCAAAGCTCCGTTGGCTTGGCCGATTGGGGCATGGCTCCAATAGGAATCTGTATGGCTATGGATCCGTAGGTGTCCTTTTATAGGGGAAATGGATGGCCCTGGTAGATGATTAAACCACCAGGTAAACCAGGGCCATCTATTTTTCTAGCACAACAACCAAAAAGGACACCTATGTATGGATCCCTACAATGGCCCTCCCAACGTTAACCCAAGGGGTCTTTTGACAATGCCAAGACATGGAGACCACAAAATGGGTGTTTGTTTTTTGACCTTTCGAGCCAAAACGACAGACCCAACTAGGCCATGTGCTTCATTGGCTTGTGTCTATCCTTGTGTCACGTTTGAGGCTCGGCACCCCGTGAAGGGGAAACCAGCAGGAAACCACCCATTTTTGGGGTTCCCCTGCCCTATGGATACCCCCTGGACACCTCAGAATTTGCTGTTCATCCGGCAAGTGTTCCAAAGGTTTCAGGCAAAACAACCAGCAATTCATGGGTGTATGGCCCCCATTGCGGGGAAGAAATGCTGTTCCCTGTGCAAAAGCACGGCTCGAAAGGAAGGCCCTTTTCAACATGGAAGTCCAAAACGCATCAAAAGCTTGGCTAACCTCCAGACTAGATTTGAATTCACAAGCCCAGCCACATGTCAGGATTCATTTGGAAGCCCCGCAAGACGGAAGTGTTCAAAAACCATCAAAAGCTTGGTTCACCTCCGAAATATTAGAATGTCCTTTTCAACATGGAAGAAGTCCTTTCAACATGGAAGAAGTCTGCGCCTCAAAAGCTTGGTTCACCTCCAGGCTCCAACTTGGCATGATTGACATGGGTTCAAATTTGTCAAAAGCCCAGCCTTCAGCGTGAGGACGTTGTTGATGATGGCCATGAGAACCGTGGGCAGAAATCCCATAAAGACCTTCAACACCCCGGTGCTCATCACGCCTCCGGACCGAACTCGGGCTGCAAGGCAGCCAACAAATGGAAGTGTCCGACCCTGACCCCAAGATTTTGTGTCTTTTCCTTTTGCGCAGACCCTTTTCGGGGGACCCAAAGATTGTGTTTTGTGTTGCTTTTGGGCTTACTTTTTAAAACCAAAAAGGGGGTACTGGATTTTGGAAGCCTTTCGTGAGATTTCGGTGCCCTAGGCAAAGGACAACTCGCCGACAGGCTCACATGCAAGCCGACAAATAGGTGTGTCATTTTGTAGGGGACCCCAAAAATCATGTTCTTCCGTTGTGTTTCCTTTTTAAAACCAACCAAGAAAGGGGTTCTCTAGAGGAAAGTCCTTTGGGGAAATGGACCCCCTTTTTGGGTTTCCAGGGTGATTTGTAGGTATCCACACACTCCGCAAATCACCAAAGCAGGTTTTCAGGTGGGAAACGCATCTTCGGCCCAAGACTTTTTTTGCGCACGAATTCCGTGAGAACCAGGGTGAAAGGGAGGCCCCAATCAGGCGGCCCATGTCATGCTCGAGATCCATCAACATCTCACGTTTGGGTCAGGTTCGCTCAGAACTTGTTGCGAACCGGCCCCTCCAAGAACCTGCTTTGTCCCATGTCCAAAATCCCAGCAAGTATGTTGTTTTTCCGACTTTCGAGGCGGGGGGGGGGGATCAAAGATTGAAACTGGAACCTACAACCATCTACCAATGGTGGTTTCCCAAACAGCAGTTTCCTATGAATAGACATTCTTGATGGAAAAATGCGGTTTGGGAAACCAGTTGTAGATGGTTGTTTCACGTGTCAGGCTTCAACCTACCACTTAGAGGATGACTTGGAAGACAAGGCCAAAGCGTGAGGAATTTCTATGCTGCTTGTTGGACTGGTTTTGTAACACAAAGACCCATTGAATTCCCTCCGCGCGTGTCTGGTTGTCGTCTGAGGTACCCTTTGCACCTTTGTTTTTCCAGGAAGCCAGAAGAACACCGCAAACCGAAACCATTTGCAGCTGGAGTTGGTGATTTAGGGGCTGACCGCAAATTTCCCAAACAAAAGCCGGGCTTCAAGTTCCCAAGCCAAACCACCAACTAGGGGTTCTCTAATTTTTGGCGCATCTCCTCGGGTTGCCTCATTTTGTGGGCTCCAAAAACTGTAAGCGGACCCCGGAAGGAACGGACATCTCCGCCAACCCGTTTCGGGGGGCTAAAAAAAATCAAAAAACTCGGCGAAAGTCCGATGAACACTTGGTTGCTGCAACGACCCCCCAGCAAAAAGTGTTCAACTTTTGCGGGTTTAGTGGAAAACGCCAATAGATTTCAACCAAAAAAATAAAGTCTACCAGGCCCCCCCAATGGCCGGTAATTGGCGTCCCGGGTGAAGTGCCGGCAATTGACCAGCACTTGCTTAAAAATGGTTTTGTAGTCACATGTTTTTTTTTGCCATCATCAAAGTGCAGTGGAAAGTCACTTTTGTTGAAACGTCACTTCCGGATACTAGAGGGGATCCAATTGAGGGGTTGGGCTGGCATGTATGATCATTGCACGTGCAACGCGCGGGGGGGGAGGGGGGGCGACACGCTGGTGACACGCTCATATCCCAAAAAAGTGACCGTTCAACGTACATGTGCCGGCAATTGGCCACCCCCCGACACGCCGTGACACGCCGTGACACGCTCCTCAAGAACCCCTCCCAACCTCAAACTTGCCCTCCAAACCTCAAATTTGCTGCTCTCCCCTTTCCCCTGCAACCCCATTCCAAAGGACCCTGAAAGGTCACTTGTATCATTGCACAAATTGCACTAAGTACAGATGAGTGATAATTGATAGCAAAATGTTTTTGCAGTCACTTAGACATAAAGTGACATCGTTTTGCCCAAAATCGATGTGCCGGCAATTGGCCAGCCATTGGGGGGTGCTGGTAAAGATCCAACCCAATAGCAGCCAAGTGTATGTATACAGGCCCTAAGTGACATGACCCCTCCAATGCAGACCCCCAGACCCTCCAATGGAGAACCCAAAGCGACCAATTTAGCGCCGTCCGGGGTCAAGAAAATGAGCGCCGAGCGCAGCGCATCGCATCCGCGCCTTGCACCAACTGCTGAAGCTCCGGCTGATTCTTGAGAGTTCCGAGGAGCACGGGCTCCACTCGGTCCAGGAATGTGGCGATCCTTGGATGGACCAAGGGCTGGGGCTATGGGGGCGAAACTCCCTTCTTAAGCCCTGAATAAAGCTTTAAAGGGCTTATCCTTGCTTATCCTCCTCCCCCGTCCATAGCCCCCCTAAAGGTCCATGATTGGATCAACATGCAGGTGACTTTTAAGTAGGCACGCTATTGGTGCACATCATTAGGAAAGTATCCAACCATTTCGGACAGATTCCCACGTTGAAACTAGCCAAACCTTGGCCCGGCTATGTTGCCGAGGCTTGGGTTACAACAAATGGCGCAGTTACATGACATGTTGGTTTAGTCATGCCTGTTACTGGCTGCCGTGTTCCTTTGAACGCCCACCAAAAGCGGGTCCTACGCTCACCTCAAATCCACACTTTTAGGACACTGCACAGGTTTTCCACCAGCCGATTTGAGCCCTCCAACCCCTGAACGGAACTCACAAGAAGCAAAGCTTTCGCCCGAAAACCTTGGTCAGTTTTGAGAGATTCGGAAGCTCGGCACCAGTTGGTAGATGGTTTACTCACTTCCGATCGGGTGCATTGGCCCCAAGAAGTCTCAACCCCTGATTTACCACCAAGATGGACTTCCTGTGTGGATTACCCCCAAAGAAGTCTGAACTTCGTATTTTCCACGAAGATAGGGCCTTCCCAGCAAGCTTTCAAGTCCAGGAACTCAGGCAGTGAGTTTAAACAACTCTCAGCCGGCACTTGTTCAGACTTGTGCCGGGCATGGTTGGAAAGCATCATGCTTCTGGCTGCCCGGAAGCCGTAACCCCTGAAACGCATGCTTTGACCTTCACCGATTCGGCCCAAACAAAAAGGTGGGTCGTGGGTCTGGATTCAGACCCTACCATGGAGGGTTCATATGACCATGGCTCGAACCCCATTTCTTATGGGACCTCTGGGTTGAACTCAGACACCCTGGAATTCAAACCATGAAAAATTGAACCCATGGGTCGAATGTCACTTCTGAAAAACCATGGAGGGCTATGACGTTGTTTTGGACGGGTTGACCCAGGCTGTCCCCAAATCCCCTGCTAGAAGTTTCACTCTTAGTGGGTTAAATGGAAACCTTCACTCATCCCTAAAAAGCCAAAAAAAAGCTAAAAGCCTGAGGGGATGGCTGAGAGCCATGGGTTCCTCTGCCTGGTCCTCGCATTTGCTGCTAGAAGTCTTTCGTGTCGTGGGATAAATTCGGAAACCCGAGCACCAATCCAACCAAGAAGATCCAAAAAGCTCCAGGGAATTAAAAAAAACTTCACCCATCCCTAATCAGCAAGACAAAACTAAAAACCCGAGGAAGACAGCTAAAAAAGCAAAAAAAAAAAACAAAACAGAGGAACCGGATGGCCGAGAGCCACCCAGCAGCCAAGCGTCAAGGGAGCCCAAATCACGAAGATCAGCAGCAGCAGCGCCGCGGCCGTCAGGTTGCCGCCCGCCTGCACCTAGGCCATGCGACGCGCTTTTGCTTTTTTGTTGACGTCCCATCGAGGCCAAGAAAAGTCAAGGCACCTTGGCTAGGTCCTCCGGAAGAGAGGTTAGAAGAAGTGGGTGCTCGTGTGTTTTTTTTGTAGGGGAACCCTCCCCCAACAGAGGGCAAAAGGGCACTATTGGGGGACCTAGTTTGGTTTGCCACCGGTTAAAATGGTCCAACCTCAACAAGTGAAAAAAAAAAAACAACTCGCTCAGGGAGTGCGATAGTATAGCCTCATGAAGCCAGATAGGCAACCCAACCTGGCGGTAACCATATTTAGACAATTCGGTGAAAAGCGAGGACTTGACATGAGACTAACTTCCTAATGGAGCTTTGCTCATGTCTCGTGATCTGGGCAGTCCGTTTTCAGATCTGCCAAAAGTGACGCACCTCATCCGGCCGCGGATTTCGGCGACAAACAACTCCAGAAATACTCCCATAGCCTGTCCAAACTGATCCCCTGCAAAAAGTGTGACTTGTGGGTTGACTGGAAACCCAACTACTAAACACACACAACAAAAGCTATAACCTACTTACTGGTTTCAGAGGCTGCAACTAGAATTCCCAAAATTAAAGAGTTGGAATTCAATTTACGGGTGGTCTCCATTGAAACGATCGCCACTTTGGAGGATCCAAAAGGCGACAATGGAGGGAAACTCATCACATCCAGACCTGAATAATTCCACTAAACCTGGGGGCACCCCCCCCTATTAATAAACAGGGGTTGATTAATCTGGGGTTCCCATTACTCAGTTTTACTGCTAGGGGTCACTCGACTTTCTCAAATGCACAGTTGATCAATTTACCGGTAGTTTCAATTGAAACGACAGGTGTCCACTTTTCAAGGCTCCCTTTAAAGGGAAATAAACGGTTCAGAAACCCTGTTGAGGCGAATGGGACACTCAAGCAACATGGAGCCCTTTTCATTGGGTTTCATTGGGTGGCTGTCATTTTTTGCGCGGCACCCCTTCTTGGGCTCTTCTGAAAAAGAAACTGACAGGAAAACCACCATGGGTCCATCTTTTTCACGGTTTTTTTTTGTGTGGGATTTAAAGCGGGAAACCACGAAGACAACCGCCATTTCTTGGTGGGTTCGAATCCAGTGCCAATTCATCGGGAACGCCCATACGCTACATCTGCGAAAGATTGCAGGCTTTGGCCATCCAGAAAAGCAACCGCGGAGCTGGTCCATGTGATTTTGTGTACATATATATATATACATATATATATATATATTTATTTGTATATTACTACAGATTCGTCATGTGTGTATGTGTGCAACATGTGTTCACAAGATGGCCTTGTTCCTCAAGATGGCCTTCACAAAAGACTCGCAGTGCCGCGGCGCTGCGCAGGTAGGAAACAACTTGAGAAACAGGTAGGAAACAACAACTTGCGCAGGTAGGACGTGGTTGAGGTTGGGTAACCGCCATTGGTAAATGGTTGTTTCAGGTTCGATTCAAGGCCTCGAATTGACCATTGCCTGTGCTTGTTTGGTTGGATCGCTCACGGAAAGCTGAAAGCTGGAGCTTGGGAAGCTCAAAGTTTGGGTGAAACAATGACGTCAAGTGTAGGAATGCCTATTGTTGGCCAGTTGCTGTATGAATATTTTCGAGTAAACCCAAGATATTCACCACTTGCTCGTGACCTCGCCTCAAGCGTGAGGCACAAGGTACTCAGACAATCTCAAGTCAGACGCAAAAGATATCGACAGGAGAATGGAACGCATGTAACACTCAACCCCTGAAAGCAAGGAACACCTCACTTGCCCCCTTTAGGGAGCCAGACACAAAAGGTGATATCGCCTTTTGGGCTTTCGGGGCCATGACTAAACAATATGCACCAAAAAGGGGAAACCAAAGGGTCATCTGCTTTGGGCAAGTGAGACACTCAACTAGCACCCGGGTCCCAACTGCTTCTTCCCACGTCCCAACTCTCCCCCCTCCCCCCCCCAAAAAAAGAGCAACGGTTGCGTTTAGGACGCGGGTGTTGGAACCGAATCCAAAGATCAACATTGTCCTAATCCAAAGTCGCACAGAATCCATCGCGGCGAACATGGAAACAACAAAATGGAAATTTCACGGCGCCTGGGGGTCTTTCGCCAAGTCCCTGTAGATCACGTCCTGCAGGAGTTGGACCCAAGCGTCGGCTTTAAAAGACCCGCCAGGTCCATAGCAGCCACTGCTTTTTGGTTCTGCACTTGGGGTTGGATTGCATGGTTGACAAAGCAGGCAAGTTGGGACCCAGGTGCTGGTTTGTTTTCCGCTGAACAAGCGAAACAATGGTACCCATGGTACCCTCAAAAAAAGATGTCCTCAGATCTGGAAAAAGTTTACTTCTAGTGGCTTCAATGGACCCCCTCCCCCACTCAAACAACCGAAAACAACGAAAAACCCAAGAAGCCGAATGGACGCCCGCAACTGAATACCAAATAACCTATAAACAACGGGAGGACCTCCGCTGGTTCCGAACCTCCAAGGGGTGCGTCCCACCCACCGAAGCGCCAAGCTTCTCGTTCGCGGCTCGAAACCGGCCTCGGGGTCCGGCGGCATGGCCACCACCAGCTGCGTGGCGTCGGCGCGGTACTGGGGGGACAGGGCCAGCATGCCTTGAGTCGACGGTAGGGGACATGCGGGTGATCGATGTTCCGGTACCATCGCGCAAACCACGCTTTAGAATGGGATATTATTGGTTGAAAATTGGAAGGGGACCAACATTTTTGACAGACTTTAGCAGGTAACTGGGACTTTCAACCACTAAACCACAAGCAAAACTGCAGAATGTGTCCCAACAACAACCATGGTAAGCCCACAGCACCTGCCACCCTCAACGCCTCCATTTGCGTTTCAGCCCCTGGCAAAAATAAGAAAACATGCTAGATTCCCCTTTAAAACCAACAGGTGAACACAACACATCGTAAGCCCACAGCCACCTGCTAATGACTCGAACACCTCCAGAACCCCCCTGCAATAATATGTCCAGTAGTGAAATCGATTCTCTTTAAAACCAACAGGTAAAAAAAGGTCTTCAGCAAATACATGGAAGACACCGTCCAACAAAAAAGCCTGCAACCCTAAAAACATGGTTGGTGGTTTCCCTTTGTTGAGGGTAGTTTGAGGGTCCTTGTGGAAATAATGTGACTTTTGGTTCCATGGTCACAAAGCATATAAGCTTTGCCCCCCCCTCCCACATACTTGTTTACCAGGTTTCTCACATAAGAGGGACTCATTTTCACAGGAACTCCGGATAACCTCACAACGTTGATGAAAATCCGCGGTCAACATGAAGCCCGAATCAACGGGGAGTTTCAAGCGCCGGGGACAGGCTCTCTGATGTTTGGCTCGGCTGAACTTGCGTGAATGATCCGCTCAAGCCGAGAAAAGCCAGAAACCCTCATATTGATAAAGATTGAAACGACAACTACAATTTGTGATTACCCAACAGAAACGGGGTTCACCATCTGGAGAAACTCCAATGCCTCTTTGGCAACGTTGGGAGGATCAGCTTTGCTTGGCCTGCGCAACGCTGAATTTCCAAGCGGCACATCCTGCGGGAGTTGAAGGTCACGAAGCCTGGCCACGTTCGGATCAAGTCCCACTCCGGCGAATCAAACGAAAAAAGTCCGAGCGGTTTGCCGCTCGAAAAGGCTCGCAAGGTATGCAGTCCCTTAACAAGTCAGGGGTGTGATGAAGCTCGAAAAGGCTCAGAAGGTATGCAGTCCCTTAAGAAGTCAGGGGTGTGATGAATGCAAAGCTGCCGCTCAGCGCGCCAATGCATTTGAAGGTGCTTCAGTCGCCATGAAGCTAGGCCAAGATCTGGGCAAATGACTGTATACAATCCAGAAACCAAACATCAGTAAGCACAAAAGTCAGCTCGTCTTACCCTCCGCCCCCCGCTCTGTCATTCCACAAAGTACTGAGTTCATTCCTCACCTCGTGGGTTGATCAGAAAATGTCCGGACTTCTTGCTTATCTTGCTTCCTACGACATGATTTTCCCCAAAAAATGAGTTTGCATCCACCGAAAGCAAGGAGAGCTTGCCAATGGAGACCAAGGGCCCTTGCCGGCAAGCCCTGACCTGCTCTCCTGTTGCACATCTGGGCTAGAAGGGCCCTCAGAAGCCACAAAAAAAAAAACAGCTTGCCTACTTGCAAACGGATGCGTCTTGTTTCGGGGACCCCCAAAAGGTTATTTTGTTTCCTTGTGGTTTCCATGCAAAAGCACGAAAAGGGTTCCCTGAAAACAAATCGCAGATGTTCCCGTCCAGTTTTTTTGTTTCTCTTGTTCTGGACCATTTTGGTGAGCTCCCAACCAGGTAAGCCACCGCCAAGCAAAGACTACCCCTGGCTAACCCGGCGAGGCACGCCCCAGGGAATCTTCAAGTCGACACCCCAACGACTACATGAGTCATGCCGCTGCTCCTGATGACCCTTGCACTTTGATAACTCTTAAGGAGGATGTGGCTGTGGACCAAAATGGGAAAACCAAAAGGTCAAAAGGTCGGCTTTGGACAACTGAGAAATGGCTTGCCCTGATAAGTGGACACATGAGCCAAAGCCTGCGGTCCCCTGGTGCTTTGATTTTGACCAACACCCATGTGTCGTCTGAATCAAAACAAACTCCGATGAATTGGCGCCAGCTGCCCTGTGCGAGTTTCTGTTGCCTTCTGTTGCCACTCTGCCAGTATTCACTGTGGTCAAACTTCCCCTCTAGGTCTTCAACGCGCAGAAGTGTGAGGCACCATGGAGCGCACACTACATCTCAATTCAGCGATCCATGCTGAGCATATCTTGGACAAGGGGGAATACGGAGAGAGCAGGGATATGTGGGGATTCCCTTGGCGCCATTTCCCATAGGGGGAATCCCGTACGCCTGCTTCCCCCTGTATCCCTGCTAGTTGGTTTCCCTGACATATAGGCGGACCCCGGCAACAACCCTGCAATGTCAGGGCACGTACCGGAGGTTGGCAAGTTGAAACTCGCACCCTTGAAGCGATGCAAGGCTCGGTGTGGCTTGCAGCCATGCCCATGTCTGGTGTAAGACATGGCTTCTATACAAACCGTTTTAACGCCTAATTCAAGAGTTGTTTGTAAACGGTTTACCTTTTGTTGAGAACATATGGTTTGTACAAGGTGTTTGATGTTTCTTATAAAAGGCTTTCAGAGCCCAATGCGCGAGCATCACATCATGCAGGTCTCTCCGAGCACCCTCAAACTACTCACGGGGAAGCCAAACGGAAAACAGAAGCCAAGACGCTTGAACCTCAAACTACTCTCAAAAAGGTGAAACCACCAATCATAATGTTTGGTCGCGACAAGTAGTATTTACGTCGTAGTTTGAGGATCCAGGCTAATTTACAACATACATCCAAGAGATTAAAGCCCTCAAACTACTCTTAACAAAGGGGAGTCCACCAACCATAATTGTGGGTTGCGATGAAACCAATTTAAAGGGCAGTTTGAGGGTCCAGACGAATTTACTACATACATCCTCACAAGGCAGCTTACGCAGTATTCTGAGGTTCCAGGCTAATTTACAATATACCTTGGCTGCCGTTGGAAGGGGAGCAAACATCTAAATTTTAGCAGTTAAGGGGGATTTCAACCACTAAACCACAATATAAGCAAAAATGTAAGATGTTTCCCAACAACCACCATGATACATGCTACCTGGAGTCTCCATGACCCTTTCAACATAGGTCCATGGCCTCATTTCTTGAGGGTAACGACCAATCATGTTTAAAGGGTCAGAAGGAGACTCTAGGTGCATATTACTTTGTCATGGCCCAGCAAGCCCAAAAATGCAAAAACAAAAACATGGTACATGCCAGACATTTTCCAAGGGATCCCTCCTGCCAAGCTCCGGCCTGAGCATCCGCAGACGTTGAGATCCGTCCGCTTCACCGCCTCCTCGATGCGCTGCTGCTCCTTGACCACCGCCGCCTGGCTGGAGGTGGGGTGCCTTCCGACGGAACCAGGAAGGCAGTTCCAGAGGATCCTCACTTCGAAGCGGGACACCGCCCTTTTGCGGAGAAAAAACAAAAAACTAAAAGCTACTCATCATGTGCCGGTGTTCAGAAGACCTCAACGGGCATAGGTGTCCTTTTAGGGGGAAATAGATGGCCCTGGTAGGTGATTAATCCACCAGGTACACCAGGAATCGCCATCTATTTGTTGAGCAAAACAACCGGGGGTACCGTGACCTGACGCTAACAAAAAAACACACGAGCGGCGGATGTAGTTCTAGGGGAAGCTTCCCTCCTTCCCCATTTTTGAGGGTACCCCTTTCTTGTGGTCTTAAAGGGAAACCACCAGGAACGCCACCATTTTTGGGGGTATCCTAAAAAAGGCTCGCACCCAGATATCTGGTTCGTATATAAATCTAGGGTAGCTTGCATTCCATTCGAAGCCAGGGATCCGCTCTGTCGCAATCCAAGGAACTGGCAGAATCCGGCAGGACATGTTACCAAACAAACTGTTTGGTGGGTGATTAAAACTCTGTCGAACTTCCCATGCGCAGCAAACAAACACTGATTTCTATGATTAAAGGAGCTTTGTTTGCAGTGACTTTCCGGCATCTGTCGTCCTTGCAGGTTAACATGGGGGGGGCAGCGATCCTCTTCAATCCAAGCGTGGGAAAGCCTTTTTGGGGGCCTTTAGCGAACCTTCCCCCCCCCCAACCGACTTCTCAAAGGATAAACCCCGTTGCAAGGGCCCAAGGTCAAGAGTGGCCATGGGCCCAAGCACTGAACCAGCTTGGTCCCGATCCCTGGCACCGGGTCCCATCCGCACCTGATATCACCTGCCTTTTGGTGCAAGTCCGTAGGGGGGGAGGGGGGGGTTGGTGGCATGGTCGAAAAGCCGGCCAGTTGGTCCCCTCTGGCGGCAGCTCATCCGATTCTCATTCCCATGTTGTGAGCCTGCAAGTCCTCCACTCGCCGGCGAAACTCCTCCTGGGCCGAAAAAGCGAGACACGGTCCGGTCCTCCAGTAGAAAGGTTAGACTAAGTTGGTACCCATTTTTTTCCTGTGGTCTATTGTAGTAGGGGAACCCTCCCAACCAAAAAGGGGTGAGAAAGGGCACCTAGCTGGGGGACCTAGGGCAAGCAAAACCCGAAGGGTCTTTGGAACGGACTGCCAGCCGGAAACCCAAATCCCAAGTTCTGTCCCAAACAGCAGTCCCAAGTCCCGGTGCTGGTGGAAGGGACCCCCAAATCCTAGTTGAACACAGAAAGGAACCGCACCAATTGAGTCAGGGTTGAACATCCTTCAAAGGTCGCTATGTGGGGGGTTCATCAATATCTCCTTCGGGCCCCAGTTTTGACCATGGGTAACTTTTCCCATGTGGGACATCATCTTAGTGGATTTGCAACCAATGGTCATCCCGTGTTTGTTTACCGGACCATGTTGATCAACCCCCGTGTCTAGACAAACGGCTACCTCTAAGGTTGCTATACCAAACTTTCAGACATGGGCTACCAAGTGCAGTGTCCATCAACCCTTAGAAAAAGGCCGATTCTTGCCAACAACTGTTTTTTTCCCCATGTCCAAAATCCCAAGTACTGTCCAAAAAGCAGTTGCTGGTGCTGGTTGTCTTCTATCATCACCAAGCGAACAATCTGTCGCCGATTTGCATGGCTTCCGCCCCGGGGCTTGCCGGGTCCGATTGCTACGCGAGTCTCGCGACTGAGTTGCAGGTCAGGTCAGTTGCCCAACAGTTGCCCAACGGCCGAAAAAGTCAGAGGGAGCCTCGCACATGCGGACCTTGACCTAGGAACTTTGTCATCAAGGGGGTTTGGAGGTGCCAAGCATGGGAGGGGGGTCAGGTTGAAAACCTTGGTATCTTTGTCGGTGCTATGACACTCAAAAGTGCTTCGATTATCATTATCGTCAGCATCAGTATCCACAATGTCATATTGATGATCATTGTTGTTGTGTATTAATCATTGTTACAATGATTGCTATTTGTTTGTAATCATTACATATTATTGATTGGTATGCTTCTCGTTTATGGATTGTTGCCGTGGATTATTGTTTATGCTTATTCATGATTATTGTTTGTAAGTATTGTTAAGTAGTGACTTTTGTTGATTATTCATGATCACCAATCATTGTTTTCATTGTTGACTATTGATTATTGGTTATCGCAAAAGTCATCCTTTCAGAAAGTCACGTCGACATTTTTCTTGCACTGCAACAACTCCTTGCTCTCACCCATCCCACGAGGTATCTGCACGAACAACAAAACTAATGCTTCATCCTGCTTCATGTTTGCAAGCCCGCACTCAACATGTGCTGAACAAACACCAACAATTTTGAGAACTGCACCAAGAACAGCATCACCGAAACACAAACGATGGGCTAGCCAACCCGATGCCGAATCAACTCTATCAAAATGACTAAGAGACCAGGCATGGCTGTCCCTTCAACAAAAAGCATTTCAAAAATGGGTGGTTTGCATTCGGATTCAATTTTGAGCGACCCCCAAAAGTGTACCGGGCTTCCAAGCAAGACACGAATCCCTGAATCCCTGCATAACTGAAGATTTGACCGCGCGTTCGTGACGTTGCGCACTTGAAACACTCTGAGTGGCTGCTGTTCACTGATGCACCAGGTAAGCTGAACAAACTTGTAAATGACCATGCAAGCTGAACAAACTTGTAAATGCCCATGCCACAGTGTCCTAAGCCTGCCAAAAAGGGAATCATGGGTGCGTCTTCTTTTGAGGGAACCCTTTTTGGAAAGCACCCCCCTTTTTTGGGAGGGGCGGGCTGTCCCATTACGCGTGCGTCATTATTCCAGGGCACCCACGAAATCGTGATTCGCCTTATGGTCTCCCTCAAACGTACCCTCAGTTATTCCCAGGTGGCATCCCCAACAGCCCCGAAGCCCCGAAGAAGCCTCCTCTTGAACCCTGAACGCTGCCGACCCCTTATCGCTGGGCCGATCTGGGCCTATCGCATCGTTTCCCTCAAAATGTGTGGTTTGGATTGGTGGGTTTAGAGGTTTTTCGGTTTTCCCCATCACTCTAGACTGGAGGTCCAATCCCAAGCTAGACACAGCTTGCTGGTGCTCAGGCTATGAACCTGGGGATTCCCGACAGCAAACCAGCTCGGGGATTTGTTTTTTCTCGGGGTCATTCATGTCTCATTCCCTGCATCTCTCGCACCAACGGGTTTCCTGAACTAGGTCCAGTAGCAGAATAAGTTGGTACCCGATTTTTTTTCAGGACGTCTATTTTAGTAGGGGAACCCTCCCAGCCAAAAAAGAAACGGTAAAAGAAACGGCACCTAGCTGGGGGACCTCGTCAAACATCCAACGGGCGGGCCCTGCTGACTGTCCAAGGCGCCACTTTGCACTCCCGTGTGCATGGCGGGCAGCTCCGCCAACTGTTCGCGCTACGCGCCTGCGGATTCTTTTTGATTTTTTTCGGACAGACGCTGGAAGGCAAAACAACCGGTTTCACAAATGGTGGTTGCCCAAACAACCAGTTCCTATGAAAAGACCTTCTTGATCACAAATGGTGGTTTCCCAAGTCTTAACTTCCTATGAATCGACCTTCTTGATGGAAACTACGGGAGCTTGGGAAGCCATTTCTAAGTGAATCGACCTTCTTGATGGAAACTACAGCAGTTTTGGGAAACCACAATTTCTGAGTGGTTGCTTTGGGCTGGGAGCTTTTGTGGGTCCTGATGGGGTCACCTCCCAGCCTTTTGGGTCCATAGAAGCCGCCGCTTGACTAGGTCCAGTAGAGAGGTGAGAATAAAGGTAGTCTAGAGACGTTTGAATACGGGTATACCAACTTTTTTCTGTAGTCTATGTTAGTAGGGGAGCCCTCCCCAAAAAGGGATAGAGAAGGGCACTACTGGGGGATCTAGTTGAACATGGGGGATGTTGGACAAGGCGAGGGGCACAAGTTCCCACCCTGGCAGGAAGCCAAGTGGCCCTTTCGAGCCGAATCTTTGCCATGGAACTGCCTGTTTCGGTGGTGTGCATAATTTCAACCTGCGGTGGTGAGTTTCAACCATGCACTGACCACCTGCAGGGGTGGGTTTTTCACAGGAAATCAAGAGGAAACTGAGGCTTAAGACCTCAATGTGCATTTGGGACCCACTTTGAGACATCCAAAACACATCGCGGTTGTCAAAAATAGGGCAACCCCAAAATGGCTTGCCTTGGTAAATGGAAACACGGACTAAAACCTACTTTTCTCCCCTGGTTGTACAATTTTCTCCAATACCCACACAAAATTGGCGTTCAACCATAGGGTGTTTCCCGAATTTCATAGCCCAATTCATTCTCCAAAGAACCCAGAGACACGAATGATCGCAGGCAAATTCGAGAACCAACCTCCTCAAGGTTCAAGTTGTAGCTCGCGCTTTCCATGTCGTTGACCAGCTTGCCTCAGAACACTGACATCGAACTCGCAGTCGTTTGGCCTATGCCAGGATACCAGGCCTTCTGGGAATAGACAATCTGCCACGAGTTTTTGGAATCGGTACAAGCGCGTGGGCAGTTGAGAGCTTCCTTTGGGGTCCGCAATAACCGCCCCGAGAAAACCCCCGTTCAAATTCCATAAGCAAGCAATTTCGGCGCCCGCAAATCACATATATACTTTGATTTCTGAACTCCTCATCTCTGGCGCGCTGCTCTGCGATTTGACCAACCCAGTGAAAGAAGTGGTTCAACTCACTGTGACTTAATTGGGCTGTCGGTTTTCAGATTCCTGCTAACTAAAAGTTTAACTTTTAGTGGGTTCAATGGAAACTCAACCACTAAATCAAGCAAACACAAAAAAGCTAAGGGGATGGCTGAGAGCATCGAGTATATTCAAGCGACCAGCCCCATCTCCAAACCGGAACATTGCAGGCATTTCGGCAAACTAGGCCTGTTAAAGTGAGGTTCCTGACAAGAATACCCTTTCGATGAAGGCTGTTAACTGAGAAACACGCCCACAACAGTATCTTGGAGGACTCATCAAATGTTCACTTTTGCAGGACATGTGTTTTTGTCCATGCCGAGGTTCACAAGTAGTCGGTGCGCCGGACCACATAGGCCTGCGGATCAACGGCGCAGCGCAGCCAAAAAGCGGGGGAACTTTGGCCATTTGACAGAGGGCTGGACCCCACACCTGCGGAAGGGGGGGGGGGTTGCCTACGACATCTGCAGAAGCTGCCAAGCAGCTTAAATTTCACGTCGCCCTTAAACTTAGCTTGTGGCAATGCTCAAGTTGGCCCATGCGTCAACTGCAAGGAATCCAGAAATTCGAGACACAGCGATAAGTGTCTCATTTCGCCCGCGGCCTCCCTGAACCCTATCTGCGTTTAAATGGGAGGCGTCGCCTCCTAAGAAAACCACCTCGCCTGAAACATGCGTTGTACAATATTGTCGTTTTTGTTTGGGACCCCCAGTAATGGTGGTTGTCCTGTTGGTTTTCCCGTTAAAACCACGAACAAAAGAAGACCTGCAAAAGGAATAGACCCATTTGGTTGGCGGTTTTCCCTGTAGAAACCATTAAAACCACCCAACAAAGGGAGCCTGAAAAAACAACACACCCAACTCGTGTGGCTTCAAAGCGACCTCCAGGGAACGGATGTGCTGTTGCGCGTACTCGGCCCGTGGCGGACGCTTAGCCTCTGTCGCTTTGTGCGAGTTCCTCAGCCAAGACATGAATTGCTGGACTGTGTCAAGACTGCAGGGGTTGAAAAACGCGTTTGGTGTATGAGACCTTGGAAAATGGAACCAAAGACTAAAACCGCGTAACCCTATAGCTCTTGAATTTTGAGCCCCAGCCATGTTGGTTTCTTTCTGAAACCACCCAGGGGATCCAGGTCCATTGCAAGCTACCGCAGGCCCATTGGCAGACTCCACCACTGGAAGGCTTGTGCTCCGTGGCCAATTCACCAACACAAGCTCAAGTTCTTCAGTGACCGTAAAAAAAGGGAGCCCTTTCTGAGGAAGACAATTTTCAGTGGGGCAGCCAGCAACAAAAAGGGAAAAATAGAAAGGGTGCCACGGAACAACTGAGCAAAAATCAGGACCCCTGATGAAAGCCACCTCGCAAACATCCCGAAAAGTGTGACGTCGCAACATGTGCAAAGCGCTCACGTCACCGGGAAGTCGCCGATCTCCCAGCAGCATCTCCCGATTTTGGTCAGGCCTTCTGAATGGCCTCGGGTGAGAAGAGCCGCGCAAAGTACATGCGCAAGGCCTCGTCCGAGCGGCAGTCCTCCGGCAGGTTCTCGACCTCGAGAGAAGCGGCCCCCACGATTCTTCTAGGGGTTGATTCCCCATTCTTTTCAGCGATCGTTCTTAAAAAAAACTAGACCACGGTTGGCCCGAAAGCAGAACATCGCAAGCGAGGTCGGCCCAACGCTGCAGGATGCGTTCTTTTTCCCTACACTTCGTGAAGCAAGCGCGAGACAGCACCAGGCAAGGTGCTCTGCGCAAACTGGTCGGTGCAAGTTGGTCTGCGCAAGTTGCTCTACGCAAGTTGCACTGTGCAAGTTGCTCTGCGCAAGTTGCTCCGCGCAAGTTGCTCCGGCAAGTTGGTCCCTGCAAGTTGCTCTGTGCAAATTGCGCTCCCTGCAAGTTGCTCTGTGCAAGCTGCTCTGTGCAAGTTGCTCTGTGCAAGTTGCTCTGCGTAAGTTGCTCTGCGCAAGTTGCTCTAGGCAAGGCGCTCTGCGCAAACTGGTCGGTGCAAGTTGGTCTGCGCAAGTTGCTCTGTGCAACTTGCTCTGCGCAAGTTGCTCTGCGCAAGTTGCTGTAAAATGCAAGTTGCATCTTGCGACGCCCGCCCGCGGACCAGGGAGGAATCGAACCCGCGACCCGCCGGTTCCGGGAGCAGGCGCGCGAACCACGAGACAACTCCCGAGGACCAGTTCGAACAACAAAAGTCGCAAAAAACCTTGAGTTTTTGCACCTCGACCACGCCGATCCCCGCAGAGGGTTGCGCGAGCACCGCAGAAATCGCAAAAAACCATGGGTTTTTGCACCTCGACCACGCCGATCCCCGCAGAGGGTCGCGCGAGCAGGTTAGAAATCGCAAAAAACCATGGGTTTTTGCACCTCGACCACGCCGATCCCCGCAGAGGGTCGCGCGAGCAGGTTAGAAATCGCAAAAAACCATGGGTTTTTGCACCTCGACCACGCCGATCCCCGCAGAGGGTCGCGCGAGCAGGTTAGAAATCGCAAAAAACCATGGGTTTTTGCACCTCGACCACGCCGATCCCCGCAGAGGGTCGCGCGGGCACTTTAGAAATCGCAAAAAACCATGGGTTTTTGCACCTCGACCACGCCGATCCCCGCAGAGGGTCGCGCGGGAACTTTAGAAATCGCAAAAAACCATGGGTTTTTGCACCTCGACCACGCCGATCCCCGCAGAGGGTCGATTTTCGTGTAGTGTCGTCGGCACTACCCCGCCGCCCTAAGAAGAGATTTTAACTCCTCGCAAGTCAATTGCACTTGACTCCTTGCACTTGCAACTTGCACTTGACTCCTTGCTTGTTTCAAGGAGTCATTGCAAGCAGTCATTGCAAGGAGTCATTGCAAGGAGTCATTGCAAGGAGTCATTGCAAGGAGTCATTGCAAGGAGTCATTGCAAGGAGTCATTGCAAGGAGTCATTGCAAGGAGTCATTGCAAGGAGTCATTGCAAGGAGTCATTGCAAGGAGTCATGAGAGCCATTGCAAGTTGCAAGGAGCCAAGTGCATGGAGTCAAGTGCAAGTCGCAAGTGCACGGAGTTAAGTGCAAGTTGCAAGTGCAAGGAGCCAAGTGCAAGGAGCCAAGTGCAAGGAGCCAAGTGCAAGGAGCCAAGTGCATGGAGTCAAGTGCAAGTTGCAAGTGCATGGAGTCAAGTTGCAAGTGCAAGGAGTCAAGTGCAAGTTGCAAGTGCAAGGAGTCAAGTGCAAGTTGCAATCCTTGCCATGACTCCTTGCAATGACTCCTTGCAATGACTCCTTGCAATGACTCCTTGCAATGACTCCTTGCAATGACTCCTTGCAATGACTCCTTGCATTGACTTTCATGATGATGATTCCTTGCAATGACACCTTGTAATGACTCTCATGAGAACAATTCAAGTGAACCCAGCGGAAGAACCCTTCGCCATGCTTTCGGGAAAAACAAACAGCCAGTTCCCCAGGGTTTTTGGTGGTTTTCTAGAAAGGAGGATCTTTGGAAAGAATAGGGAAGAGACCCCTAGAACGATTAACCATCAGGTCACCACATGCTCTGACTGGACTCTCACCACCCTTAAAAGGGGACCTCCCCCCCGCACAATGTTAAGAAAAACACATGTTGTAAGGGTACAGCTTAAGGGTTCAGGTGGTTCCGAATAACCCGCAGTTAGGTTCGTGTCCCTCGTTCACAAGCAACGATGACCAAGCTGCCAAGCAGAGCGGGTTTTCAAAATGGCGGACCCCTGTGTGTGCGCGTGTGTTCAAGGGCAACAGGAAACAACTCATTTTCGGGTTCCCCCTGTTTTGAGAATTGCATCTAGGTCCTCCAGTAGAGAGGTTAGAGTAAGGGTGCCCGAATTGTTTTTTCTGCAGTCTATTTTAGTAGGGGAACCTTCCCCAAAAAAAAGGTAAAAGGGTACTACTGAGCGACCTAGCTAATGCTGAATAGGAAGAAACTACCAGGCTTGCCTTTGGCAGCCCAGTCCTGCGTTTACTTAAGAGCCTGGAAAACAAACTATATTTCCAACATTATTAGTGATATATTGCCTTCAAAACCAACAGGGGAAACCAACAGGGGAACCCTCCCAAAAAAACGGGTAAAAGGGCACTACTGGGGTACCTAGGATTGCCTTTAAAACCAACAGGGAAACTCAAAAATATTCCTTTCAGCTAAATGGGAAGCAGTTTGCTTCTCTCAGCTTGCGATTCTCTGATTCGCCTCACTCGCCCGAGGTGCCATCAGAGTGGTCGCACGTGGCGCTGGGATCTTCTTCAGCCAAGTGAAGCCTCGGAAGAACATCCCAGCCGGCCGGGGGCCTAGGGAATTCATTCCTTTCCGTGAGACAAAATTCAGGACCTCTAGAAATATAGACATCTCTACTCTTGGTATAGCTAAAAACTGTCTGTTTTTTGCAGACCCCCAGTAATAATGAACAGAACCAAAAAACTAAAAAACCAAAAACATGCCAAGAATAGTGAAGTAGATATTTGGTCAGGGCTGTCTGATTTCAGATCCCCTGTAAGCATGCTAGATTCACATGCTCTATACATATCCGTGATCCAACCCGCGAATGCATGTGATCATCTGTCTGATCTGCGAACTTATCGGTGGAAACCCCACCACTCCACCAAGCAAAGGCCTAAGAGAAGGCGACGGCTGGGAACCGTGAAGTTCTGTCCACTTCCAAACACTGCCAATCGGTGCCCAAAATGGCAAGGGCCACTTCAAATAGACCACTGCTGGCTACGTATCTATGCCTTTTTCTGGAAGCACCGTGTAACGTCTCAAGCAATCAACTGGCGATTGGACACCTCCGGTTTACTTGTTTAGTGAGTTGGGATATTTGTCTTGTCATCCCCTCGTCGGCGATCCGTGCCCCAACACCAGCCAGCTAAAAAGTCGACGTGGACCCTCAAACTACACTTGAACAAGGGACACCACCCATAGGTGTCCTTTTTGGGAAAATAGATGGGCCTGGTAGTTGATTGAACCTCCAGCTAAACCATTGCCCTCATGTTTTTTCCACCAAATCAATCAAAAAGGACACGTACGACAGCACCCATTGAGTTGCAATCATCCACTTGCGTAGCAATCGAAATCCGGATGAAGGTCAAGGGCCAGCCCCAACTAGGTCCATTTGAATACCTTCAGGTTTTAATACGAATCTGGGTAGCCAACCATCATTTTGAGCAACCAAACATGTTTAGTTTGAGGGTCCAGGTATCCTTAACTCAGGTCCCCAGTGGGAGCCCTGTTTATCGTTACGCACTTTGAGGATCCAGGGATTGATTTCCCCAATTCTTTTCAACCAAACAACGGCCGTTTTGAGGTTTCTCAGAAAGAAGGATCCCTGGAAACAAATGAAGTGGAATGTACTGTTGACCCCATATTAATCAACCCCTGTTTATTAATAGGGGGGGGTTCCAAAAGTGATGACTCCCCACTAAACCAAGGGACACCCCCCTATGAATAAACAGGGGTTGGTTCATATGGGGTCAACAGCCGTTTTCCCTGGGTTTCTTGAGGTTTCTCAGAAAGAAGGATCCCTGGAAACAAAATGAAATGGATTGTAGCCCTCGAATTCTTCACTAGGTCCTCCAGTAGAGAGGTTAGAATAAGGGTCGCGTTTCTTTTTTCAGGACGTCTAATTTATTAGGGGAACCGAATCTCCCAACCAAAAACGAAAACGGGTAAAAGTTGGCACCTAGCTGGGGGACCTAGAATTCCAGGCACTCCTTCAAACCCGCCCAGCGAGTTGATTTTTTTTTGGCCGCGGAGCGGTGCTCCAGGAAGCGAAGCTGGGCCTGGTACACAAAGCGCCCCGCCGCGAGGACGACAAACCACACCTCAGGGAATTTTGTGTGAATTCAGGGAGGGAGGGGTGGGGGGGGCGTCGTTGGGTTTGGTTTAGTTTTGGTTTGGTTTTGGTTCACTTTGTTGTTGGTACTTAGTGGAAGTGAGAAAATTGCCTTTTCAAAATGGGACACGTGTCGACACTTGACTTGGTGCCGTTTGCTAAAGTGCTTCCCTAGGGAGTTCTCCAAAAAATGGCTGGATCAGGAAAACCAGTTGTTCATCACCCCCCCAAACCAGCAACATGTCTTACCTTTAGGTTTTCATCGGACAGTTATTTGGATTGAAAAGGTCTTTTTGGGGCGATTTGATCACTCCGAAGAAAAGCCATGTGGCTTGAGCAACCCTGACTTGGGTAAATCGACTTCTCGCTGCAACTTGTTGGTGCCTAGGAAGGCCGAACCTTGTCACATTGAGAGATGGCTGAGCCAGCAATGGGCCGAGGGCAACGGCTGCTTGCCAGGGCTGTGGGAAATGACAACTTCTGTGATACAACAAAAAAGTCCGAACCCCAAAGACGAACCCCCCATTTCAACAGGGGGTTCCCAAGCTTGTATCACAGAAGTGAAAATCAACCCCTTGATCGAAACAACCCTGCTGCTCGCCCTTGTGGCAAGCCATTTTGGTCACAGGCGGGTGTTCGTGGTTCAGCTGGTCTTCTGCTGGGTAAATGCTGAGCGGAGGCTTGCTCAGAGTGGGTGGGGTTGCACAAAAAAGGGGTCCTTCCGTTCCATGGATCCCGTCTGAAAGAAGTCAAGTGGCCATGACTCTTAATACATAAACCACCTCAAAAGTGATTGGCAGACATGAATCCGCACCGAAAACTGATGTTAACCCAAGGGTCCCATTTGGGTGTGGCTCAAAATTGAACAGGAAGGGCAAACCGCAGGTTTAGGCCTTTGTTTCCACTTACCAGGGCAAGCCATTTTGGGTACCGGTTGTTTGAGCCGCAGCCATCTTAAAACTCATCAAGTCAATCAGGGATCCTTACATTATACACCTGAACATTGCAACTTGTAAATGGTGGTTTCCAACTGTATTTTGGTGTTGGAAAAGCCACATGTTTCAAATGGTTGCAACATGGAGATCTTTTTTTTGGAGCCCCCGGTCAAAAATTCGCCGCGTTTTTAGATGATTCGATCGAGAGGCCGTAGCGGCGTGGGACCAAAGCAGCAGCGTGAGCTGCTGGTGTGGTAACCCGGACAGGCCGTTGAAGCTCGTCCTGCCGAGGCTTTAGGATCGAAGCCAGATCCATTTGGCGGTGGCTCAAAATTAAACGATCGGGGGGGCAAACCGCATGTTTTGGTACCCATGTTTCCACTTACCAGGATTCCATTTTGGAAAATTCTGTTTTTTTTGTTTGCCACAGCAATTTACCCGGGAAAGAGGTAGGTATCAAAAAATACCACCTGATATTTATCAACCAAAGTCAACAGAGCTGGCGACCTATATAGGCAACTGGGATCCACTGGGATCCACTATGGGATTTGGAGGTATGCATGCTGGGGTGGGAATTTGAATTCATGGCTCCCGAACCGGACATCACCTTTCGGTGGTGGGTATTCATGTCCATCAAGCACTATTGAGGCGGTTTCCTATGAAAATTCATTGCCACATACCACCAAAATCAGCCAGTAAGGCTGTGTATACCCCTTATATAAGTGGTATATAACCTCAACTCTGCAAGTCTTACGGCAAAGCATCTGAGCCGCAGCCTGTCCGAGTACATACAAACCAAGGCTGCTGAACCATTATGTTTTCCCCAACAGCTGAAAGCTTTGGGGTCTCCAGATAGACTCCGGGGTGGTCCGGGGTGGCCCTGAGGTAAGGTTCCACGAGGGTTAGGGTTCCACCAGGGTTCCTCCGCGAGGGCTGCGGGGTGGTGCGAGCACTAAAACGAGCGCATGCTGTTGGGGACGTCACCTGAGCTTATTCAGGCATATCTTCGGGGGCCACAGGATGCCTGACAAACCCGCTCCAAATGCAACGATTTCACCATCCGGAGCACACGCAACCTTCGCTGTGCTCAGATCCCCTGCTAAAAGTTTAACTTTTTTAGTATGGAGATTGAGTGGAAACTGCCCCTAAACTAAAAACACTACAGGCGCAAGGGGACGGCAGGGAATGTTCACGGTCATCTACCGAACAAAGGTTGTCATGTGGGCCCACTTCCCAGACTCGGAAAGGCAAATGATACATTGGGCCAGCCTAACTTTTGGGGGTGGGCGTGTCCCTACTTACCTTCCACTACAAACATATTTAACCAACTTCCGGCTTTGAACGAGATGGAAAGGTGATGGAAGCCTTTCTGTGTTCCTGTGTGTTGCCAGAAAACGGTAAGCTTCGCGGACCATGGCATGTTAGCCGGCAAGAAACAGTGATGCTGCTGTTGATGCAGGCCCCGTTAAAAAATTCAAGCGTGCCAGCAGCCAGTCAAGCTGGGAGCCACATTTGGAACCACAGATGCACAGCTGCAGTTGATTATGCTTTGGGGTGTGTTCACTTGCAACCTGGAATCCTCTTGTTCGAAATGGGTAATCTGCAATCTGAAGTGGCACCCCACTACAACAAGGGAAGCCTGACAAAGCATCTGGCATAAGGATTCAGGATTGATCTTGACCAACCCGCTTAAGCAATGGTGAAAGCTCCACTGAGCCACACTCCCATAGTCTAACCCTATATCGAGCTGAGGCGCATGCTCAAAAGCTCAAACTGGCCGGAGAACTGGCTGTGCAGGTAGAAATGGAGCGGGCACAGCATCCCCACAATGACCTGCTCTCACCCTCTTGTGGTTCCTACCTGCTCGCTTCAAGTCTTGGTTCTGCGGGAAAAAAAAAGAAAAAATAGGGGAAAAGCGAGGCAATCAATCGCTTTCATCATTTCATCTGTTTGGCCCAAAGGCTAAGGCCTCATCCTTTAGACCCACACACCTTCCATATGCTGAGACGAGACAACTCCCTGAAACAACATCCCTCGCATCGGCAAAGGACACGAGCACATCAGCGCTTCCAGAACAGAGGACTCCATGTGTTTAACTACCAAAAGTGGGGGAGGGACTGCAACCAGGGCTTTGCTTGCACCTTGATCTGCCGGAAGCAAGGACACTCAAGGAAAGTGCCCTTGCACACCGTGCCAACTTGGTGTAAGAGCTGTGGCAAACAAGCTCCTAAACCAGATGCGTTAAACCCAAAGCTTTCGCAAACAAGGTTCTGAACCAACTGCGTTAAACGGAGGTTCCTAACGCAATCAAACCATTTGGCCAAAAAGACACGAGAAGTCGGACTCACGCACCAAAGCATTCCAGAGCCCGGCCAGCACCTGGTTGTCGTGCGTTCGGATGGTTCTCTTTGGGTGCTGTTTCAACGGGAAACCGAAAAGAGAAACGCAAGTTGGGAATGAGTCTGCCAAAGGGGCTCGAAACTGCAAACTGGCTGTGAGCGTCCTTCAAAACCTGCCTGAAACGGATAGCTGTACCCTCAAAATTCCCAAAAACATGGATTATTGAACCCAACATCATGGTTGGTGAATTCCCTTCTTGTAACATTCCCTAAACAATTGGTCTATTGCGCCCCAACATTATGGTTAAGGTGACTTCCTATTTTTTCATGCGTGGTTCGAGGGTCCAGGAACCCTCACAACCATAGGTGACCTTTTTGGGAAAATAGATGGATATCCCTGGTAGTTGATTGAACCACCAGGTGAACCAGGAATCGCCCTCAGCCAAAAAGGGCACCTATGACACCACCCATAATTTTGGGTTGCAATGATCCACTTACATAGCCAGAATCAAAATCCGGGATGAAGGTCAAGGGCTGGCCCCCACCGGGATGAAGGACACCTATGCTCACAACCACATTTTCGGTGGACGCCGCATGAAGCGGGTCCAAGCTCCTGAGTGCCAGGCAATGCCCCAGACCAGCGCCAGCTGCCTGCGGGAAATGCTCCCGGGAGATCTCCCTCCCAGGAAAAAAAAGGCAAGCTTTTTGCCCCACAGCTCAGACGTGCAGGAACAAGGGGCTTACTGCCCCATCACCAGAAAAAAGGCCAGGATGGCCCACAACGAATGGGTAAGTTGGTACCAACTTTTTTCTGGACGTCTATTTTAGTCGGGGAACCCTCCCAAAAAAGTTGGTAAAAGGGCACTACTGGGGGACCTAGTTGAGTTTAAAGGTGAATCCTTCCCCCCCCCCCCCAAAAAAAAAGAGGAAAAATGGCGAGCTCCCATTGGAAACGCCCGAGTGTCATGGCGCATTTGAGCAGAGTGTGGCCGGTTCAGGTGGGAGAACTGGGCAACAGAGGTGAGGTGGAGCATTTGGTTTCAGTGGGGTGCCTGCGAATCACAGATAGCTCTGCTCTACGAAGCAGGAAATGGAAAAGGTCAACTAGGTCCTCCAGAGAGGCTTGAATAAGGGTACCAACTTTTTGCTGTAGTCTATTTTGGTAGGGGACCCCTCCCCCAAAAAAGGGTAAAAGGGCACTACTGGGGGACCTAGTCAAGAGACCTGGAAAAAAGTGAATCTACCGAAACTGCAAAGCACCTTTTTGCAACATCTTGTAACAAGGACCTCGACTAAACGTGGCTGCCGGCAGTCCACCCCAAAAGGTCAAAAAAGTCGCTGTTTGACGAGTGAACAGGCCGTATTGGACTTAAAAACGGAGGTCTTTTGGAGTGGCAGCTGCACAGGAAGACAGGCAAACAGAAAAGTGAGCGCACGTCTCCGTGTGCGAGCAAACACAGCCTGAGAACCCAGCTTGATTTCAATCATATCTGGAGGCCTGTCTTGTTTTCCATGTCAGACCACAGTTCTGCCCATCTGTTCTTCAGAGGTCATCTTCCTACATGGAGAACAACCAAGCCATTCACGAATGAGACCACGAGTGTTTTCAAAGAGTGGATGACTGCCACGTTTCAAAACTTCACGCTGACTCTACATCACAGAGTACCCAAGGACGCCCAGTGTTGAAGCCATTTCAAGCTTATGAATTCTGACTTAGGACTCTTTAGTGGACATGCTGGACATGGGGAATTAGGTCCACCAACCATTTTGCGGGCAGAGCATTGACATTAAAGCTCCAGGGTTCCCTATGATTCCCGCTCAAACTTCCACCACCTAGCAAAACTCAGCCAGGCGGCAAAGCAGGTGCTGCTTCAAACTTAGGGACAGCATTTGGAGCTGCAGGCGCTTCTGGGAGAATTGGATCTAGGATGCATGTTCTGAAGTCAAATGCTGAATGTATACGCACACAACCATTTGTATGGCTTAACTATGCGAAATGAGCCCCCAAAGGGTCCAACCTGGCCATGGGTTTATTTTTGGATGTATACAATCAAGCCCCACTAAACCACCTAAAAACAACCAAACAGCTAGATTCGCTGGGAGCCGCCAAGTTTTGCGCCGCTTTCGGCTGTTCTTGGATTTCTGGTTGGTTCCGGGATGCATGTTCTTAACGTAGGTGTCCTTTTGGGCAAAATGGATGGAATTTCCTGGTAGATTGTGCCAACCAGGGCAACCAGGCATCGCTATTTGCCAAAGCAACCAAAGGGCGTTCATTAAAAGAGATGTTTTTCTCATAAAAACCTTGGGTGTTTAGAAGCATTGGGTCTTGATTAAAAGAAAAGGACACCTATGGTTCTCAAGGCATCGATCGATCCATCCGATCGATCCGATCGATTCGATCCGGATCGGCCTGCCCAGGCGCATGAACTCCAAAAGCATGAGGCCATCCAAACCAGCGCGGGCGACCACTTCCGTGTCCTCTCAGTGCTCGGCCCGCTTCCGAGTCAGCCGGTCTGGATGGGTTGGGTGTGGGGAGTTCGAATCGCTTCCAACACCAGGGCCCATAGCAACCACTCACTTTCTGGGTTGATGGGCCGAAAAAGTCACGAAGCCGAGTGTCCGAGACAAGGAGAACACAGGAGGGAGCAAACTGGCTTGGACAATTAGCAAGAGAACAGATAGCGTCATCTGCTCTTTGGGGATCGGTGGGATAGATACAAACCTTTGGCAAAGCACTCATTGTGTGCCGGCAAACAAGGTAAACCTGAGCCAGCAATTTTTCCAGCAAAACAACCAAAAAGGATACCGATGTCAACGTTTTGCTGGTGCCGAACGAACCGCAACCGAGCTATCTCGCAGTGGTATGAAAGGTCCTGGAACCTGAAACAACCATTTAAATTACCAAATGCGAAAATGCCCCCTACAGATCCTTTTCCTTTTCTCAGCATTGTGTGGGTGCCAAGATTGCATTCCCCACCCTAAAAACCCCTTCAGAGCCCCTCCAAAAGCCTTAAACGAATGGCACCGGTGTGCCTGGCTGTGTTATGCCGGGATGAAGATCCATCCCCCCCTCAGCTTCAGGGCTCGCGGCGCCTGACAGCCGACGCCCTCCACCGAATCCGGTCGCAGGATTTTGGGTGGAGCCTAGGAGAAATTAAAAGTGTCCTTTTTGAGAAGAGGAAGCAGGACAAAGTCCTGGGCCACGTCCTCGATCCGCGGACGCAGGTGTTCGCTGAACCCGCTATAGTCCGGGTGTGCGAGTTCATCAGCTCAGGTGAACTCCCTGGGATCTTGGGAGAGAAGTTCATCATTGCGTAAACATTTTCCTGGTTGGGGCCAGCAGCCTGCACAGCAGCACTTGTTCGCCTGCCTGGGCCAGCCTGCCAGCCTCTCCTTTGGGGAGATAGTGCAACTTCCACAGGCCGCTTCTTGCGGTCTGGGAGACCACGGCCTGGCCTTCTCGATCTCCATGCTTATGCGGCGGGCTTTCCCCTTCTGCCTTCTGGGATGAATTTCAGGCATCGGGGTACTCACCTCCATCGCAGATGGGGCCTCGTCGCTTGAGGCGGCCCCACCCCAGCGCACGCGGCACCCGAAGGTGGAGGGACCTCCCGCAACAGAGACCTTCGCTATGCAGTCCTGCAGCTCCATCATCTTCATGAGGAGGTCAGTGGGCTGCGACTCCATGTCCAAGTGGGGGAGCTGCAAGGCCAAGCGGGCCTCCGCCTCCTGCGCTGCCACCACCTCCTCTTCTGTTACCAAGGTGGCGTCCACCAACTCGAAGGAATCCGCACTGGCTTCCGAGCGAGACATGGTCGAAGCAAGGGAGGGGTAATGAGAAGAACAGGTTTTTCTCTTTCAAGAATCTTGAGCCAAAATGGCAGGCCATTTTGACTCATAGTCTTAATTTCTAAAGTGGCACCGCTCTGCTCTTCCATTAGAAACGCAAATGGTGGTTTCCCAAACAGCAAGTTCCCATGACTAGACCTACTTGATGGAAATTGGAGGCTTGAGTTTGTAAACGGCTGTTTCAGGTTCCAGGGTGCCACTGCAATAACTGACTCGTCAATGTTCCAAACTCATTTCAACCGCCTTCCAAACCTCCATTTGCTTAAGTCCCCTGAAAACAAATCCAGTAGTGCTAGATTCCCTTTAAAACCAACAGGGGAAAATCACAAAAATAAAATCTTGACCAAATAGAAGTAACTGGGATGGTTTACACAAACCCACAGTCAAGGATCGCAATGTCCGATGGCTCTTGATGCAAAGGCCGGATCACTTCTGAGCGATGAGGATTCTGTACTTCTGCTCTATCTAGGTCCTCCAGTAGAGAGGTTAGAATAAGGGTACCCTTTTTGAAAAGAACGATGCTTGAAAATAATGGGAAATCAACCCCTAGAGCCATGAGCAAAACATCCGCCTGGAGTTCAGAGAAGCAAGCTTGGAACCTTCCTCATAAGGTCTCGGTTGCTTTCTGCTCAACTTTTAGTGGTTTAATGGAAACCCATTAGCTGGCAAAAAGTTAAAGTCCTAACATCCAATCAAAGTGCACCAACGTTTCCGTGTGGAAAGCATGAACTGCAGGCAATGCATGTTGCGAAGTGCATGACTGGTTTATTCGGTTCTGCTACAACCATGCCAAAGAAAGGAAGCCTTCCGCGAACATGGTTCAACCCCAGCCCCCCCCAATCACTGCTTTTTGGGCAGTTGGAACTTGGGACCTGCCGGAAAAAGCAGCTGGGTGCTGGCCGGGGCTGCCAGTAAGTCGTTTGCCAGACGCTGTGCTGACCCCTTACTTCCACCTGGTTAAGACCCCTGGAAAAAAATATTTAAATTGTTTTTTTATGTCCAGCAGTGATGACTTCCTTTTCAGACAAGGGAAAATACAAAATATTCCCTTCAGAAAGAAGTCCTGTAGTGATAAATTCCTTTTCAGACACACAAACAAATACAACCTATTCCTTTCAGCAAATGGAAGCTTACCGTTCAATGTGCTGGACCCACATCAAGCCTGAGGCTATCCGCCGGCAGTTGGCATACCGGGGCTGCTGCTTTTGACGGCTGCCGAGGCCCGAAAATAAAAATTATCGGCTCGACACGTCTCAAGTAGCCCTTGAAGGTTATCCTCACTGGCTGAGTGGATGGCCCAAAAAGAGTCCACACTTTAGATTTACCACTAAGATGGTCTTCTCAAAAAGTTTTAAAGTTCATGAACTCAGGAAGTGAGTATCAAAGCCGATTTGATTTAGATGGTTGTTCTGCAAGGCGGTCGAAGTCATCGTGGATTCCCTCAATGTTGCAAGTCGGTAATTCAACAACAAAAGGCTTGCATGTTAAACGAACAAGCGCTTCCCTTGGTTCCCTTGCATGGTCTCCAAAAAAGGGACCCCATTTGAAGTCAGGTGTAGAACCAGCACAACAGGTCTAAGGCTTGATTCCATTCTCTTCACCCATCTTCAGAAACCACCCATTTTATCGCAGGGTTTGGCCCGAATTTCGGAACACGGACATGGGGTTTGAAGCCTCCATTCCAGTCCTCCATTGCGTGGACGTGACACATCCGGGCCAGGCCAGAACCTAACGGTGTTGTTGTCACTTTTTTAGGACGGGATGCGCCGTTTCTCTATACTTGTTCAAGAGAGCTATAGGGTCTTTGCAAATCTCCACAAAACACCGACCTGCGCAACACAACAGCACCACCCAACACCCATTGTACCAACATACCAAATAGGACCCCGCTCATCGACTAAGATGGCCAACACGGACACTTGAAATGTTCTGAAGAATTCACTTCAGACCAAACAAAACAAATCCCAACCAACACGCACCACCAGTGTTTTTGCTCGTGACAAGCAAGCGATTGTCCACCTGCGGAAAGAGCAGGCCGTTTAGTAAACTATGTAGCTGCGAGAGATGCAGGGACTGACTGAATCCTTTACAGAGCAAATCTCGGGGCTCTCGTGGTGCCCGTTTGCGCGGATGGGAGAAAAAGGCCACCTCGAAAACAGGACGTTTCTCTTAGCGCAGAGGCTATGGCGCAATGGCAGCGCGCCCGCCACTTCGGAGGGAGGTTGCAGGTTCAGCTCCTGCTAGTCCTGAATCTTGGGAGTATGCATCTGAGACCACTTTCAGCTTGGACCGTTGCCATCCGCGTTTTTTGCGTCGCTCTGGCTTCTTTTGAACAGATTGAATCTGAACAAAAAAAAATCGACTCTCCCTGGAACCTCGGATATCCCCCCCAAAAAAAAAACACTTTCCCTACCTCGGATATAATTTCCACCCAAAGACTCGGCGAAAGCTTGGAGCATCCTATGAGCCTTGGAAGGCCAAGGCCCAACTTCCAACCGCGCGGCCTGGATGGAAAATCGGATCGTGATCTTTGGGGCGCTCGAAATCACGTGAGGATCACATGCCAATTTGGTCTCAACATCCCTGAAACACGTGAGGAGGAAACCATTTACATCTTGTTTGTTGATATTTTTTACCGAACAAAACTTAGAATGGTGAGGAAAAAACAAAGTAGAAATCCCTTACAAGGGTGAAGCCGCAGCCTACCCCGCACAAAAAAAAGGGGACACCAACACCAACCATAAGTTTGCGGCCATAACTCATTTAAATGGATAAGCTGAGGGTCCAAGTAGTGGTTTTGTCACCTTTCACGTGCCTTGAACCCACCCCCGCTACTTCGAGCGTGGTCCACTCGGCTCCCCGGCGCAACGCCAGCATCGGCGTAGTGTCCTCGCAGCTCGTGTTTTGCACGGCACTTTTCCTAGCCGGCAAGCTGACCCTAGGTCCTGCAGATTTGAGCGGCTAGAAGAAGTTGGGACCAACTTTGTAAAAAAAAAAGAAGAACAAAAAACGTGTAGTCTATTTTAGTGGGGGACCGAATCTCCCCAAACAAAGACACGGCAAAAGAAACGGCGCCCAGCTGGGGCACCCAGGACCCTTCTGGATGTACCAGCCGTCCGGGTCGATTCGGGCTTGGTGCCAAGGCCGTTGGCCCGATAAAAGGGTTCCCAAGCCCAAGGCAAAACTCACGAGCCCGAAAAGGCGGTCCAATCGATCCCCACACAAGATTCCGCTCCTACAAACTTGAGGAGCGGGTGAACGAAAGCTAGCAGTTGTTGCATGAGATGGGTCGGTGACAGAGTGGATTCATAGGTAGCTTGTGTACAACGAGAGGCCCGGCAAGATTCGTAGGATGCGACACGCAAACGCACATGGTGGCGTGGCAAACCTTGAAAACTGAAAACAACGAGAGGCGTCAGAAGCTGTCTTAAAGCACCTCTGGGTTCTGCATGCAGCGTGTGCAAAGATTCTTGCGAGGTGGTTTACCGAGAAGACTGAGGTCTCAAATGAACAAGCTGAATCGGTGGAACATGTAAAAGTTCGTAGCACCAAGTCCAAAACGGGCAAACCGAGACTGCTGAACACTGAGCCACTGCCCGGGGGGGGGGGGGGATGGACCAGGGAGGAATCGAGCCTGAGAAGTGGGGGGGAAAAAATACAGAAAGGGGATTTGAAGGAACTGAAAATCATTTCTGTATTTTTTCTAACAACCAATGGAAAACACATTGAAAAACCAAGTATCAAATAATAGATAAGGTTAATAAATCACAACCTTATTCATTCTAAGTAATTCCTAGAAAAGATGCACACCTTAGCCATTACTTTTCCACTACTTAACTTGTTTCATTTTACTATTTGATTAACCTTATTCATTTTATATTTTAAGTCTTTTTCCAATTCTCAGAAACTCCAGTTATTCTTCATTTTTTCTTTTTACCTTATTCATTGTTCGCGAATTTTTCACTCAGACTTAAAAATATGACTAAAACACATTTCACCTAATAGTTCCACAAAACCAAACAGTCAAAGCACACAAGAAAACTAATAAAATATAATAATTCAATCTTTACAAACCATAAGTTCAGTATAATTATAACATATAAGATTTTACATGTTATTATTATAGTATGATTATAATTTCAGTACAGGATAATAATTTAATTGACAAATCTTTCTTCTTTCATACATCATTTTAAAAATAATATTAATATCTCTCAATGTATTTTGAATATTAAACTTTTTACTTTCAATAAATAATTTGATATTTTCTTTAACATCTTCTCCTTTCTCTTGACTATAACCCAACATCCATAATATATCATAAATCATGTCATATTTTTCTTACTGATTTTAAGAAACTGTTTAACATAATCGTAAGGTGGTATTTTATTTACAGTTAGAAATATTAAAATCTCATCTTCTACATTTCTATTATGTCTTCCTTTTATTCTCAACAAACATTTGATTAAAAATTGATTATCTCTCCATTCCTGACAATTTTCACATTCGTCTTTTTCATCCATTGAATAATTAATAATATTATTCACTGTTTCATTAGGTAAATTCAATTTATACAATTCCATATTTTCTTTTTTGAAGTGACAACAATCATAGCATTTTTTATTGATATAATTATTGATTTTATCACCGTTCATTTTCCTCTTATTATATTAAGGCACTATTTCTTTAAGTCATTTTTAAGGCATTAATAAAAATTAAGAAACAAACCATAAGTACAGTATAATTATAACATATAATATTTTACATGTTATTATTATAGTATGGTTTTAATCAAAGTCATTAGTATTTAAATATTCCTTTGTAATCTTTGGTATTTGTTTAAAGTTCTGTTTATTATTTTTAAATGGATATTTTCTATCAGCAAAATCATAAATGCAAAAATCTATGCCCCAGTTTCCTAAAACACTTTTAATATCATTTATCACATCACCATATATTAATTTACCTATTATATTGTTCTTCTGTTCATCCTTAATATAATCACATAGTTTATCAATCATGATTTTCAATTCTTGGTTTCTTTGTTTTATGTAGTTTAAAAATGTTTCCTTGCAATCATTTTCAATTTTATTATTTGATAAATCATACTCATCAATAAATTTAAATATCATTTTATTATTAAATTCTTCAATTGGTCTTGTTGTTCCAGTTTTGCCACCATAACTAACTTCATATGATTTTTCGTAGTAATATTTAATATCATTATAAAATTTTAAAATATATGTTTCGTTATCTTGCAGTATATATTTTTTCACTTTTTCATATGTAGGAAATGTATTTAACTTTATAAAACAATATGTTCTTAATGATGAGTCATCATTGAGAAATGTATTTTCTTCAAATTCCAATTTGTATTTATCATAAATACATTGTCTCAATGTTGAATGTAAATTACTTTTATGTAAAACTTGCTTTGCATTTCTTAATAAAACACATTTCTCGCATTCAACATAATTAAAATCACAAATGTTTTTAACAATTGGAATAGGTAAATTTAACTTAGTTAGTCCAGTTTTTTCATTTATTAGTTTACATTTACAACTACTGATAATGTCATTAACTTTTATTTTATTCAAAAAGTCATTAATAATTTCTTCTTGCTCTTTTTTAGTAAATTCAACCATTTCTATTATAATATATTAAGTCAATATTTCTTTAAGTCGTTTTCAAAGAATTTATTTTATAATGGCCATAAGCAAGTGAGTTTATACTATCTAACCAATATTTTTTGTTTTCATAACTACTAAGAGCATTTTTTTAGTTGTTATACTAAAAAATATGTGGTTTTTACTTCTAATACTATTAAATGACTTATGTATAACCTCATTAGTTTTTAAAACCGTCTCAAACTCTTCATATTTCATTTGACGTCTTACTGTGCCTTTTGCTATGCCCTTACATTTCTTATATTCTTTCTCATCACCAAAAACTGAGTAAGCGTAGCATTTAGGATGAAGGGCTATAAACCCTGTTATTATTTTACTCTTTAATTCATCCTTAAATTTACCTAATACTTTCTTGTTATTCTCATCATAACATTTATGTTCCTTAGGATAATCTGAAAAATCTATTTCTTTTTTAATTGTATTCAGGTCGTCATAAATGTCATTGGTTTTAGTATGAAATACAAAACTATCAGTATCAGTATATACCATTTTAATATTATCTCCATATTTAGGTTTCATAACGTCATAATAAAATTTATACATGTGTTGCTTACTCAAATCTAAAATACTCATCCCAATAAATATAGGTTTGTCTAGTTTTAACTTTGTATATTGCTTTTCAACTCCAACCAAATTTTCATTAATGATATGACTATGTTTGAAGTTAGGATTACTTACACACTTCATATATCTAGTTTCATCACTCACAACTTCAAAGTCTAAATGTTTTCGCTTATCCTCCATTGTTTTTCCAAATATGGCATTGTTCATCAATTTAAACATCTTTCTCAAAATCATTTCTAGCATTCTTCCTCTTCTCAGTGTTAAACTCAATGTACGGTTTTAAAACTTCTTTTTGTTCAAATTTAATTGCTCTATGAATTTTCTTGAGTTTTAACCCCTGCTTCAAATAAAATTGTAAGGTTCTTATATGGATTACATATTTTTCTTTATCATTTAAATTCAATACTAATTTATTTGTTTTCTCATCCGTAGGTTTTTTATGATTTAAAAATTCATAAATTTCAATTTGTTTATCTGACAGCATGTTGGCTTTAACATTCATAACCTCAGGTGCCATTGGATAGTCATTGTGTAAATCGTGTAATTCTTTAGGATATTCTAAATCCACTTCTAGAATATATCCAATATTATTATTCTTATAATTAATTATGTCTTCTTCTTTTAATGTATCATCCCATTTTAGATTTTTATATGGCAGTTTTTGTATCATGCTTAACCCATACAAATTATTAGCGTCTAAATAGTTAATATAACTACTTTCTTTCTTTTTATCATAATCTTCTCCCATGTATTTATTATTTGCTTCAACTTTTTTAGTAGAAACCATACACATCCCTCCTCTAAGTCCCGCTTCTATCATTTCATACATTTCTCGGTCATATATTAAATCAATCTCTACACCAGTCATTTTAAGCATAGCATCAAAAGCAAAGTTAGGCAATGTATAATAATAAGCAGGGTCCAATCCATAATATTTCATACACACATCTCTAAAATTTTCAAAAATGTCGGTCAATAATAATACATCAGTTTTCAAATATAAATCATGGTATTCACCCATATTCTTAATGTCGAAATGCTTCCATATAATTTTTGCCCTTTCATAGTCGTTAACACTTATACCTTCTTCACTCAACTGACTATAAAAATCATCCTTACTCGGTAATTGCTCATCATCAAATTTATCAAATGAATTCATGTAGTCATAAGGATAAACGCCTTTATCAGTTAATAAATCTAGACATTTCTCACTCTTAATCACATCATTTTTACTACTGAACCTAAAATTATCTTTCCAGTTTTCACGCAATAACCATTTACTTTTATCTTCTTCATCTGTATTATCATACTTACTCATTGAAACTAACTTATCTAATGAAGCAGTTAAAAACCCAAAAGTGTCTTTAACACTCAAACTTTCAAAACTGATATTAATAAATTTTTCACTGTTCTGAGCGATGACACCTATTTTACTGTTGTTACTTAATTTATCAGCATTTTGAATAATTAAATGACCGTCATAATTTTTCATGTTATGAAAGAATACAGGAATTTTAAAATATCTATTACAAAAATTAAGATTGCAAACATTATGAGCACAACCTCTATACTTACCTGTAAAATGACAATGGTCTCTAACCTTTCTATATTTCTCCGCTTCCTTAGCATTCTTGTAGT